CAAAATGTTCCTTTCACAACCTAAAAACATGTTATGGGTTAAACGCTGGGCTATCTTAGTCATAACTTCAAGCGACTGTAATTCAAGAACGCCTAGGCTGGATTCGAACCAGGACCATCCGCTCCGTGCCCAGCACGAAACCAACTGATCTAATGGAGCATCCTCAATTATCCTAACGCAACTTTCGATAACAGTTGATTGTAATAATAAATAACTTGTAATGTGGGTAGGTTGTTAAACGTGAGATTTCAGTGTATCAAACGTATAATACGATATTGTTATCATAATTCGTAAAGATGATATTTCCTAGAAGGAATACTGAACCAGTGCACAATGATGTTATTATGGAGTACATGCTGCGGTTATAAAATAAGTGTGGGTAATATGGAAATTTGTTCTCTAATTTAAAAAATTAGCATGGTAATGTATAGCGTAGAGTGTAAATATTTTTAGGCTATCAAAGAAACAGAACAGTGCCAGTCAAGTGGGCTAAGATTCAAAAGATTCAGAACACCCCTTTAGGTATTCGAACCACGACCATCCGTATCCTAGCATGATGATAACCTTTGCATATGTACTGATACTAAAAGTGCTCATTATACAAAGTGCAGGCTACACGACCAGTGATGAACGGCTGTGGTGTTGGCAGGTTAGTGAGTGCGAAGTGATTAACCTGCGAACAAAATTGGTACAAATCAAATCGGAGGGGGTAAAAATGTGTATACAGTATTATTTCTCAAGTCTAGTAAAAATGGAGCGTTTGTTTTCAAAAGGGATGCGTGTTCAGAGTCAACGTATTCCACCTGCAAGGAAATTATTGTGTCACACGACGCAGTGAAATAAGGCGATCGTCATTTATTTGGTAGGTGGACTTGTTGGTAGCATCTTAAAACTTGTTCATTCATTTTGCTTTCGATGAAAAAAGCATGTCCATATTTCTTAAATTGCAGTCGAGATATTTGCAATTGAAGAAAATGGTGATTGCCTTGGTTCCGAGGTAAAATAAGCGCGAAAAAAGCCGCCACAGTTTGGTGATATCTAAAGCTTGAGAGTCCTCGGAAACAAAATTTATATTTTTGGGTGCTTTTAATCAACATTATTTTCAGTAAAACCCACACAGACATGTGGTTTTAAATGGACATAAAATGTGTTGAGCGAAAAGAAATATAAATCGATGAAAATTACTAAAAGGGCGAAAAAAATGCCCGTTTCTTTAAATTCATCACTTTGACGAGCACCTAATTTCATCACGATGCCTCACAATTATTATTGTAGATGGAATAGCTTGACTCTGAGCTCGTTACGTAACGACATTAAGTCCGGAGCACACTAATATCACCACCAAACAAACTGTTCAACGTTCGCCCTTTAACAAGAAAACTAGCCGATCAATGAACGGACTGCTGGTATAAGTTTGTCATCTTATCTCTGATTTGCCCTTTGTTTTTTTTGGATTATATCTACAAAATGGTAGCACAATTTTCAGTTAAATGGTTGACACTGTAGTCTGCGCCGGACGATCCAAACAATAAAACTGTTAATAATTGAAGGTTGAAAAAAAAGAAGTGTGAGTAAAGCAGGCACAACCAGTGTGTGGCAGCGTGCAAGTTACTAAGATGTCACTGAGGTAAAGTGTTGGGGTTTACCATCACGTCTTCACTTATGCGCACCAGGGTCTGCACTACGAGGTGGGGGTGGCGTTTGGGCTGTGAACAGAACGGAGTAGGATGGAATGTGAGAAAGGGGGACCAGTCACGTGACGTAGTGTTGGTGTTCGTGCAGTGGCCACGTCTGTCACTGCCACGCGAGACACAGTCACTTGTGGCACATAGATAAACGGAAGCAAACAAGTAGTGGCATACTGCTCTGTGTTGCTTACAATTAAGATCATGTCTATTTCATTGCAAAAAAATGACGTCTTATCCTGGCAGGAATCTTGGACCCATTCTTCTTTGGGTATCATTCCAGAACCTGTTTACAAAGCAGAAAGATCCCTCACACACGCATCCACTTAAAGACAAAACAAAAGCCCAGATAAATGAGACATTCAGTGAGAGAAGCACTCATAGTTAAATTAGCCAGTAAAAGATTTCTAAAGATGAAACCAAAGAAAAAACAAAGAGGATTTATAAACAATTATCCTTTAGAATATAATTCGAAGAGATTACCGCCCTCCCAATCTTGTAAACAAAAAAATATTTGAAAGTAACATACAATATATTATGGTTTAACCGGAGGGGAAAACATACAAGCCGAGAACAATTTGAAACCCACACATCATGTAGCAGGAATTTGAACCCAAGGCATGTACGTCTGGGATGGGTGCACTTCAAACTGTTGCTTTAATTTTATCAATTAAGAAGTGAAGTGTGCTTTCGAAAACTTTGACAGTCTACAAAAAAAAATATTTTAAAAAGTGAATGCATAAATAAAGGATAACGGTTTCCGGTCGTATTTTCGTATGAAAACACGAGCTGATTTTGAAAAATGTGATACTGGAGCCAGAATTTGGTGTTACCGCTTTCTGATAATCTTGACAGCTAAGTGATTTATACAATTTTAAAGCAAAGGCAAGTGAAATGAAGTAAAACCTGAACATTCAATAGAGAACAGACAAAAACATGAATTCATCCGAAACGCTTCATAGAGACAAAGTAACGTTCGATAAGCAAAAATAATATTATGTCATCGCTAGAGAATGCAAATACAAGTGTTGTAAAACGTAAAAAAATAACGCCATGTACACACAACAATTTTGTGCCCGTTGAAAAGCTCCAAACTCCTTTAAATTCATGTGCTTGGATTTGAGTCATCAGATTCGTGCAGCATGTCATTGGGTTTTTATTTGTTCTTATAATACTGCTTTCTAGAAGAATTTACTTAGAACTGGTGTAAAATGTTTGTGCCCCCCTTATTGTGTTTTGAAGCAACATTACTCAGAAACAGAAGGACGACAAGACAGCTGCACAGATAGCGTGGAGAGCATGGTGTTTGCGTGCAGAGGAATCAAAACACCATTGAACCTTTGAAAAGCAATCTCTCGTTTTCACTGCAAATGTGATAACGGATTTTGGAGTTCACTATATAAACAGGAATCTTATTTCTCCTGTAATTACCTCTACAGTTTTGCCCGTCAAGGAATATTGATACAGTGTTTATATATTTATGGACTTTCTGGATGCAATAGATTGCTTTGCATCGGTCTGTCGGACGCTAGTGTGATCCGATTTGAAGAGAAGCACAAGTTGTTGACAATCCATTAAAAGAGCTGGAACACAAAACCTATAATAGAGTGGACCGAAAAGAGAACAACAGTGTGTATGCGGCAGAGACATAATGGACGTAGAGCTCACAAAGACACTGGAGAAACAAAATTAAATACCATAGCGTCTACATGTTATGAAAACGGCGAAACTCACACACACACACACACACACACACAAAACAAATATACATAGCTCTGCAGAAAAACAAGTACGTAATCAACATGTATCTTAACAACCAAGGGAAAAAACCTCAGTTGCAGCGCTAAAACCTCACCTTTCTGATGGCAAACGTGCGTACCACCAAGTTGGATTTCCGCTCACAGCCGAGGTATCGAACACGTATAGGTCCATAGCAGGCGTCCTGTCCTATCTCTTTAGGCCAAAACCTTGGGTAGCTCTGGGGATGAGTTAAACGGGATATAATATGGACATTTATGTTCCCACACAATGATACAATATTATCATTATCCCCACTAATCATTTCTGTTAGCTGTCTTGATCCACCTCCTGCCAGATTTGGTCTTTTCTGTTGTTGCAGCCATCATCATCATCATCATCATCATCATCATCATCATCATCATCATCATCATCATCATCATCATCATCATCATCATCATCATCATCATCATCTTCATCGTTGTTGCCAATTTTGAATATTATTGCTAGTGATAGTCTTCTTGTTGTGGTTGTTTATGTATGAATGTCGTCGTCGTCCTTCTCCTCCTACTCTTGCTCCGCCTTTCTTCTTCTTCTTCCTCCTTCCTCCTTCCTCCTTCCTCCTTCCTCCTTCCTCCTTCCTCCTTCCTCCTCCCTCCTCCCTCCTTCCTCCTTCCTCCTTCCTCCTTCC